GACAGAAGTGATCGGGCACCCCTGCAAACCTTGCCGCTTGGTGCTTTTTGCAGGCGGCTCGTCGTTGTTGCTGCTGGGCAGGCGGGAAGCATTCCAGAACTTTCCGCCTGTCTTTCTGGATGGGATCCTCGATGCTGATTTATGAAGGCAGGCCTGCACATGCCCTGCTTTCCGCAGCCATCTGCTCCAAGTCTCCATCCCTCCCAGAGACAACAGCGCCCGATGTCCTCAAAGCAGCGGGGGCACCTGACGCACCGCGCCGTCCAGCTCCTGGCCCTTTGCGTGGGCATCGGTGCGTTAGGCCGGCCCCTGTTTCTGTAGGGATGGAGGCAGAAGCAAGAGGAGTGGTGAGCCAACAGTGTCCATGGCATGCTCATTCGGCGAGGGCTGGGCCTCAGTTGCTTGGTGGATCCTGTCACCTCGGCGAAGATGCCCCTTGGTCGCGAGAAAAAGTTGGGAACGAGGCGGATCCCTGGGCAAAGCCGTGCAAAGCCGCTGCCTGCCCAGGTACGGCTTGCCCTCGGATGGCTCGATTTCTGCGCTGTGCTGGGCACCTCGACCCTCCAACTTTCGGGCTCAAACCCCCAAGGCTAATCCCTAAAGGAAGGTCGTCGGGAGATCTCAACAGTTCCACCGGGGTCGGCGCACAAGGGTTTGGCTGTTACAGCGTTTCGAGATTCGAAGCCGAAACAGGCCTAAACCTGATGCCCTAAACCTGGACCTCAAGTCCGCAGATCTCGATTAAGGTGAAGGCCGTCGGAGTCCGTGACATTTGCTTGGGTGCCGTGGCTGTCTTTGCCCTCGAGATGTCTCTGCGGTGTGAGGCTTTAGGGTATTCGGGTGTTGTGGCTTCGGGAAGTTTTTTCGAGTTATGTACAGGAAAAAGTTACGCTTTGGGTTTAGAGGTCACGGTTTGGGCTAGAAGATTTGGTCGCTCAAGGTCTGGAGTTGAGGGTATTAGTATCAGGGTTTAGGGACACAGTGACAAAGACACCTCCCTTTATGCTGTTTCCCCTCGCGTCAAACACCAAGCATTTCAACATGCAACAGCGGCATTCCAAAGATGTGAGACACGTTCCATAGCCGTTGCTGCTTGGATTGCTCAGTCTTTTCTGATTGTAGTACAGATGCATTTTGGCACGAAGGCATTGGCACTATGGCTTTCCTTATGCTGCAGCCGAGCGCCCTGCGCATCTTTGCCCCCACCATGTTGCTCGTGACAGGATCCGATGCGGCTCCTTGTCTGTTTAGCTTTTCAACATGATTCCGTTGACAGCGGCTATTTCGATGGGTTGGGAAACTGATGAAGCGAGCTCTGAAACTTCCCAAGTCTTAAGACCCAGAACTCTGAAACCCCAAAAGTCCCTACGGCTCGGAAAATCCCAATTACACCCTTTCACCCCCAAAGTCCTACGGTAATTTGCAGAAAGACTTGGAACCTTCATCTGCAGGCATTGACCATTGGTGGGCCTTCCACAGCAGACCACCTGCTTGGCTCTGTAATCGTCGGCTGCTGGGATCTTAAGGGCTGTTGAGTTTAGGGGTTGGGGTCCGCAAAATCGGTTCGATTCTTGGCAGGAAATCCTGCACGAGTGTGTCAGCTCTGACATCGCAAGCGTAGGCCACTCGAACCTGCAAACCTCCAAGGCCTCGCCGGTCCTCAGCAGGGAAACCTCGAACAAAAGCAGACAGGGGTGGGGCCGCAACTGCACTTGCTAGCATGTTGCCGGACCTTGCCATAACCGTAAAGCCCTGCCAAGTCACGGTCCGCGCTGCTGTTGAAAAAGCCTTCCGGCCCTGAACTTGAAACCGGCTCGAGGACTTCTGTCAGCTGCGGCTTGGTCGGACCCATTCCTGGCACCGGCTGAAAGCCACAGCTACAAACACACGTGAGGCAAGCGAAAGTTTCGAAGAACCTCACGGGCCCTTCGTGCCTCGGAAGTTCCGATCGCCCGAAGCCCGATGTGCGCCAGATGTACAGAGCGTGCGCACCCTTAGTTCCTGTAGCCTTCCTTGATTCTTGGAATCCAGCAGGAAAGATGCTGTCTGAAGCCTCGCGGTGGTCTGGTGCCAGTCTGTCGCAGATGTTTCCATACCGGCTGCCACAAACCAAGCACAAAGATGCAGAACCTGACCCGGCTGTAATTCTGAAGTGTTAAATCCCCTAGCAGGTGTAGAGCTTGCGCCTGCAGCGTCAGTGTAAGGCTCGGGTCTTGCTTGAAGGCGGTGTAGTTTCGATGAGCTGGATGCGAAGATGTGCTTCGGGTTTCCTTTGCAAGCTGTTAGTTGAGTCTTGACTCTGTGAGGCCCCGCAGTGGGCAGAAGTCGGATGCCTGCAGCTCAGCTGTGCGTCTTTGCTCGTGGGACTTTCTCACTGTGCGTGTGGTGGTGTAATGAGCGCCGCCCAAGCTATATACTAGTAACTAGTAATGTAAACTGGACACAAGATGTCAGTGGCTGGCAGCAGCCCTTTACGAGAGATGATGAGGCTGCGGATCTTACTACCTGTGCCTTCTCTCTGCGAGTACTTCCCAGTCATAGTCACCACACCCCAAGCAGTACTATACAGAAGCCCGTTCTCGCCGTGCGTGCCAGGCATGCTGTTCGCTGTTCGCTGATACGTACAATTCGCTTAGAACTTTAGGCTCCCCGAAGTACCCGGTTCAGTAGCCCAGCCTTACGACGACAGCTCTCTCTCTCTCCACTCGGTGACTCGATCGGTGCGCCCAGGTCCAAGCCATCCAGGGTGACTCGAGGCGCCTGTCCTAAGATTTGGGAGCTCGGCTTGGTGCAGACGGGAGGGGGATCCTTGCTTCATTGCCTCATGTCCTTTCCATGGCAGCTTTATCTTTGCTGGTATGTCCAGTAGCATTTCGTGGCACAAGAAAGACCGCACAGCATCCACCAAGTCCACTCGGAGATGATGCGCCAGGCACGAAGTTGCAAGCCAAAAAATGCATGTAAGCCGGGCTGGGCCGGTCTTGATTTTTGTTTAGGTTGCGGGTATGTTGTGTGTTAGGCGAGTGTGAGCGTGCACCACGGGTGGGGGGACGAGGTGCTCCTTTTTATCCTTTGTCTTGGTGGGGCTCTGGGCCAGAAGTTCTGTGGAGCGGGGTTTCATGGCATCTCCGGCTTAGAAGCTGTCATGAGGAGACGCTTCGCCAACAAGGAATGGCAAGCAAACCGTACGGTGACCTACGACTTGCAAGATCACCTGCTCGAGCTCGTTTTGACGGCCCCGAGCGCTCTCAACACGCAACCCAGCAGACTGGTCGTTGTTGACACGGAGGAGTCCAAGCAGCGGCTAGCTGAGGCCATGGACGGCCCCAACCCGCACCACGTGCTCGCATCCTCCTTCTCGGTGGTCTTCGCTGCTGATCCAGAGCCTCCTCTTCCTGCAGATGCTCCATCCTTCGCAGCCCAAGTGCTGAGGGACGTGTCTCTGGCCCAGGCCTGCAGTCATCAAGCATGGGCCGAGAAGCAGGTGATGCTCCAAGTGGCATACTTCCTACTGGCAGCGACGGAACACGGGCTGGCCACAAACCCCATGGAGGGCTTCAAATCCAAAGCAGCGGTGCGAGAGGCCGTGGGCTTGCCAGACAACCACGGTGTCGCTGTAGTCGTGTCCGTGGGATATGCCCAGTCTGAAGTGGCACAGGCATCCAGACGGCCTCTAAGGGAGGTGTGCTTCCGAGAGAAGTACGGTGTCAATCCCTGTTAGTTACATTGTCCAGGACCTCCTCGGGGAGAATCTTCTCCGAGCGACAGTATTCGTTTTCCAGGCAGTTGCCCTCGAGGTGAGTCCGAGAGTCTTCAAAGGCCCGAAACTGCTACTTAGGCTTTTGGGGGCCATTATACAATAATTATAATAGGAACCCCCAAAATAATATAGGTAAGCTACTGATGCGCAGTCAAGTTTTGTTGCACCGGCGACCTGCAGCGACCTGCGGCCACATGTACAGAGCATTTCCTTGTTTGGGCATTGAGGCAGCTTACGGCCTCCTTGTCTGTATAGGTCTGCAAACTTCACGTTCAGACAAGTAAACGTCTCTGTGGGGGAGAGATTGCGGAAGGAATTTCAGTTCGGCGCTCTGGGGTCGCGCGCTTTGACTTTGTGTGCGACTTTCGCAGGTACGTTTGGCGGCCAGTGCTGCCAGTGGGACTCCGGAAGAGGCCACGCAGCCTGTCGTTCGTCGTCATCATCACACGAAGAAGAGGAAACCCTAAGCCCTAAACCCGAAGATGGCCGATGCTATCGGGAAAGGTCGCATGACACCGCCGTCACTGACTCGGGCGGCAGGTAGATTGTCACAACGACTTGGCTGGACAAGAGAAAGAGCAGATCATTGCTTCTATTAGCACTATGTTTATCATTTGCATAAGTATCATTATGATATTAGCAACTACGTTTTATTAGGATTACTAACGTTACTATACTGTCGCAATGAGTCGCTTTTGGGGCTTTCCATTCATTGAGAATTCCGGGAACTCATGGTGGCAAGGAATGCGTGACTCGATTGACGGCCTAGGTTTGTGAAAGGCTTGTGTTCAGCTTACAGTGAGACGGCGTTGCTTGCTGAGATGTCTTCACATTCCGTCACCGTCATGCAAAAGGCCTTTAACCTGACAGGACGAAGACCCGTTGCTGAAGACTCTTTTTCGCCATTTGCCTTCGGACCCATCGAGTGTTGGAACAGACCCGATCCCATCCTGCCAGTCCCGAAGGTCCGCCCGACTCCCCCTGGAGAGCTCCGTTGCCTCTGAGATTCTGAGATGTCTTTGCCAGCCATTCTGGCTCGAAGCAGCGTCTCACCGCAGCTGCACGCGACGGGAGCGCCGCTTGCCCTCATCCACAGGTCTTTGGCTCTCGAGTGCTTGAAACAGCGCCAGCCGGCTGCAGCTGAGGTGCGTGGAGGCATCTGCCCTGTATTCCTGATCCTCTTTGCAGGCCTGAGCTTGCAAACATGCTCCCGAAATCCTAAACCTAAGCCTGAAGACCCAGGGCTGAAGTGGTTGTAATCATGTCAGCATGCCCTTGTACAGTCCGTAGGTATGCACGCCAGAACCGACCCGACTCCAACTCTCCCTTCATCACTTTGTGTTCTTCATCTCGGACCGAGGATCCTGAATCTTGATCGAGAGTCACCGATTCTGCGGGCATTGCGCCTTAGCTGTAATCGGGCACGGTCTGAGTATGTGGAACTGCGCGGCATCTATTTTTACACAAATCACGCCATAAGCATGTTGAGTAGTGGTTGGATTTCGCAGACGTATTCTCAGCGATGTCAGTGGTAGAATTAACAATCCTATTACCAGTAATATCTATGTATTTCCTGAATTTCCACTTAACCATGTATGGTCCCAATTCCCACGCCTTTACCTCCCACATCCAGTCCTTGCGTGGCGGTCTTCAATCGCCACTCCATTGATGTTCACCTTCATAATGTCCTCCAAAATCTAATCTACGCACGTGAAACAACATCCAACTGCAAGGCATTTCCCTACACCCCAACCGCTACACCCTAAAGCTTTAAAACCCTAGTTGGTCATCTCTGCCCAACTTGCTGCAAAAGGAGATGGGGGTCTTCCTTTCGAGTATGGTCAGCTCCTTAGCCGGATTGCCCAGCCTAGAGGAGGTGCATTTTTTGGCCGAGGGCTGCTTTCCATTTCTGACCTTGCCCTCTCTCTTCTCACTTTGCCCTTGGACGCTGTAAGTAAGAGCCAGCCTTTCCTGATCCAGCCGTTGCATCATAGACTCATATGCATACTTGTACACCTCACCTGTGTGGCAAACTTGAAACTGAGCCGTTGTTTGCACCTCACGGAGTCTGCTGTAACTAACCCCTCTTCTTCTGACACTGGCTTGAAATCATTTCCTCTACGAGCTCGCTCTGTCGGCTCCGGAGAAACCGATGAAGACAGCAGGGGAAAACAACTTGCGCAAGACTGTTTGCGCAGCATTGAGGACGCCCAGACTGAGATGCAGCTGCATCCATCATTCGGTCAACATTCGATTCCACCCAACTTCCACCAGGAGCCCTCTTGAAACCAAGAACCGATTCAGTCCGGCTGGTGTGCCGGAGCAAGCCCACCATGCCAAGCGACAGAATCCTTGCGACAAGGAAAAATTCAGGCATGCGCATCAGCTCATGCCAGGCATGAGTCAGGTCGCACCACTCCATGCCAAGCTCAAAGACAGCAAAAACGTCTAGTTAGAGTAGCTCGGACATTCCAAGTTCCACTTTTAGCAAGTGCTTCATGCTCTTCCTGTTGCATGCGTTTGTCAAGTGCTTGTATCTCGTTGTATCTCGTGACATCTGGCCATCAGCCGGGGCAGGAAAGCTTCACGCGCCTGCCGTCTGCAGAAGACTGCCGTTGCTGTGGCATGAATCCCAGTGAAGCTGTTCGGAGAGCTGCTCGCCTGAAAGATGAAACCTGCAGCCTCAAAGCCCTGGAGCTTGATGCAAGGCAAAGCCATCAAGGAGTCCGTCTCAACTCGAACTTGCAAGCATCACAGCTCCTTTCCAATGTTGGCTGTTCTTTCGCTCGCGAAGCACCTTGTGTTGTGTTCCTGTGAACCACAGCACCATTGGGCAATCAAGCTGGTCGTTGCATGGAGTCAAGCAGTAAGCCGCTTCATGAGCTCTTACTTGCAAACTTGTGTTTGCAAGTGTGCCTTTTGCCAGCACTACATACATGAACTGAATCCCGCAGCAGCAGCTTAGTACATGTATGATCACATGTTGGCCGACATGTGAAAGTTGCGATATGCTCTGGTATTCTCGTGGAGGAGAGATGGTGACGTGTTTTAGCTCAGAGTGGAGTTTCTTCAGGCTGCTGTCGCCTTGAAGCAGTGCGCGTGGTCGCAGTTCGGCTTGCCAAAGGCCCAGCCCTGAGCCCTAGCTCGAACACCGGGGAGTCGCGGAATGCTCTCCCCCAAGCTACTTCGCATGTTCACCCCAGGTCAAGTCCTTCCATCAGATGCTGATGCTGTGCGGAGAAACGACAAAGAAGGTGCGCCCGCTTGGCCCATCAGGGCCAGTTATCCATTGCATCCAGAGTGGCGCAGAGATGGCAAAAATGTTCCGGGACAACCCAAACAAGCTGTTGCGGTTCAACCCCTTGGACTCTCAGCACAGATGTAGCGACTGTTTGGCAGAGGCCAGTCCACAGAACAGCGCATGGGCATCACCTAGATTCTAGATGGTGGTGAGATTTGCTTTTTGCTTAGCCTGAGGATTCGCAGCATTTACCTGGTCCTCTGGGGAAGTTCATGTCCTTGGACGACAGCTTAGTGCAAGTCGTCGACGGAATTGCAGCTTGTCTGATTGAGCTTCTCACAGTGCTGGTGGTATAAGCCAGGGAAAACAAATCGCCAGTACTCTCTCAGATATTTTTGTTTCGTCAGGGTGCCTGTTTGCCAGCTGTAGCTGTGAGGCTGGTGCTTACTCCGACTTTGACTTGGTCTGAGCCAGGTGTGTATTGCGTTATTTTCCCCTGGGGTCTTTAATAGTACAATCTTACTGTGACTGTATCCAAAACCCTTTTGTGGTCATTCAGGCCCCTGTACTAGAAACTTCATTTGCAACCATTATAGTCACCTTCCTAGACCCCTGAAGCGAAACCCCCAAACTCCTTGGTCTGTGCAAGTTTTCAGTATACTACAACCCCTGTAGCGTAGCTAGTATAGCAACTCTCCGTTTTCTCGAAAGAACCCTCATGGTAACTAGTATAGTAACCCGTCTACACCCTTAAAGGAACACTTGAGCCGGAATCCCAAAACGCCTCGCTCTGCGCCAAGAAGAAGTCCCTTTTCTTCGAGCTGCAGGGCCCTGACCGCGAGCGGTTGAAGAGCCATATGATCACCTTCGCGATGCGCTTCAGCGACCAGAAAGTCCTGGACGGGGAATTCGGTTGAGAGTCTAGGGTTGGAGCTTGGGGTGGGAGAGTCTAGGGTTCAGGGTTTAGGGATCAACACAACCAGCATGTCGTGGCATCTTGTCCTTGACAGGTTCGAGTTTTCTGCTTGAGGCAGGCCGTGCCAACAAGCATGCTTGACTGCACTTGCCGGCAGGACAGGATGTACAAGGACATGCGAAAGCACTTCGAGACTTTCTCCATGGAGGGCGGAGAGAAATCGAAGAACTTGTTCGATGTGATTCAGCGGACCATCGTGGCTGTGCTCCTTTCCGAGATGTTCGGCTGTTCTTTGCCAGACGATGTGATGCTGGACGTGCAACTAATGGGCTTTGTCCTTCGCAGTTCAAAGCCAGCGTGTTGCAAGGGTCGATATCCAGAAACAGCTATACTCACAGAATTGTGATGCCTGTAGAATTTTTTGTTGGCTGTGAGTCCAGCTTTGGCGCGGAGCCTGCCTGCGCAGCCCAAAGGCTGCGGACCCAAACGTATGTTCATTGGTGTCTTGAATCCGGTACCACGCGGCGAACAACCCTGCGGAAGTCAGCAATGACCACAAAATCACCTTCAACTTTTCAGTGGTCTTCGCCGGCTCGTGCGCCATACCAGGCTCAGGTTTCACCAACCGGACATGCTACCCAAACCTGGGCCGCACCCTCTGAAAAAGCTTCCACACAGCTGCAAGCCGCCGAGACACCGGAAATGTGCCGTCGGAGCGGTACGTCCACCGCCTTCTGCTTTGCTGCGCATCACTCCCCAAAATTTTCGACCGCCGGCTTCTACTGGAACGGCACACACTCCTGCCTGCCGGAGGGAGACCCCTGCCCTCCCCTTTAGTGCCATCCTGCCTGCCGGAACCTTCCGGCCGCCTGGGCCTTCGGAAGCCAAGTTAGGTGTCCTTGTGGCCCAACGTCCGCTAAGGACACCAGCAAGGCTGCAAGAGCTCGCCAACAAGGTCTTTGGTGCTTTGCCGAACGGCCCTGTGGCTGAGGACTGGAGAATGCTCAAGAGGGTCGTGGACCACATGACCGCAGAGGCTGTTGAAGGAAGCATGGCTTGGCATTTGAGGGTCACCTACGAGGGCAAACCGGAGGACTGCCTGTGCTTTGAACTCAAAGCTGTTGCGTTGCATGTCGTTGGTTGTGACCATGTTTGGCTTCTTGTGCTTTCTTCTTGGCTGCGACTTTTGGAATCCAAGGCTAATCTACAAGATCCTCCGATCATGGACTAGCATGTCTATGTACTGTTCTGGATGATGGTTCAGTGCTTGCCTGTCTAGAGTCCGGAGGAGAAGGAGGGAACAATCAGAAGCAACATGCTCGTGCTGCTCCTGATTGGGACACAGAGTATGGCCAATGGAGCCTACTGGCTGACCCTCTGCCTGCAAGATCCGGATCGCTTGTCACGCTTACGCAGGGGCGGCGGCAAGCTTGCCGACGTCTTAGTGGAAGAGATGCGTCGACACCCGCCAAGTGCGCCAATACTGATGCCTTACAAAGTCATCAGTGCTTTCACATACTGCGGCATTGACTTCCTTGTGGGCGAGATTGTGGTCATCTCGCCACCATGGCTTCGTGGCTGAATTACCACGTGCCCACATCTCGCGGTTCCGCGACCAAAGAGTGTCAGTTCTATCTAGCCTGGCCAATCCTGTCCGAGTCTTTGAATGGCTAATGTTGTTTCGTCGTTCTCTCAGACCCCCAGATTATCCCACTATGGTTATCCTAAAACATGGTAGCTTGGTCAGCCCCTGCGCGAAGATGCGGATGATGTCTCTCCGGAAGTCAATCTCGTCGCTTCGCAGGGTTTTGGCATTGTCCGCCCATGCAAGGCAGCACATGGCATTTCCGAAACCACATGAGCACCAGGAGGCCCAGCGCATTTGCTTTCCAAGTGGTCTCGCTACTGTTCATGCCATTGGACACGTCTTAAACTCGTACGGCACAAGCTGGCAGGATCGATTCAGCGAGGATCTTGCTGCCCACAGGCAAAGAAGCGGCTGCCCCTTCTGGACAGGTTCTGGCCCGGTGCCCGGCAAGGAGGTGGAGGCTGCCGAGAGGGTCTTGTCCGACAGGACTGACCTTAGAGTTGGGGAGAGTGCGAGAGAGTGAGCGCCCTGGCAATCTGCCAGGACTTGCACCTTCGGAATTCGTCCGTTCGGGTGTCCGATGAAGCGCTGCTTGGGCAAAAGAATTATCTTGTGGTCGCGCTAGGAGCCACGCCCACTCTAGAGATGAAGCCATACCATCGTGACGAGCTAACACTTGTAGCACTTATCGAATACGGCCCCGTTGGATGAGACATGGGATGAAACAGGGCGCAATGTAAGGAGGTGCTGTGGCGATGCTGCTGAATTTGGGAGCAATTATCCTGCAAGATTATGATGTAAAGGCAAGGCCTTGTAGTGGTGCCAAGTGTTCACTGCCGGAGTGCATGGATGTGCAACTTGGCACGATTCGGATCCTATTTGTCTGATGGCGGCAGGTTGAGAACCTAGACCTCGTCAGCGGCACTCCTTTCGAAGAGCACATGGAGCTCGTCACTGTGAATAGACCCTTTGAGCTGCTGAGCGCCAGGTTTTGCAAGCGTGTGTCTTTTCCCATCTGGACTGCATTCTTCCGCATTCCTAGATTTTTCTGGCTCCAGATCGGGGCACTGATCGTTCGCGTAGTACGCCCAGTCTTGTACGGGCTGCCGTCGATCATGTGATGCGAATGTCTTGAAGTTATATCCTCTCTGTGCAAACACGTCGTTCTAGATGCCGGAAGTACCTCCAAACTTGCATAGTGGCATAGTGCTTTTCAGAAAAGCAGACATTCCCGCAGCCCTCTTCGGTGCAGCCTGTGTAACTATCCGTCTTAGCCACCGCCTGGTCGTCGCAGGCAACGAAGCCGGCCAACCTTTGCACAGGGAGGCCTTGTACAGGGTCGCAGGGCGCGACTAGGTCCTGCATGTTCGCATGCTTGACTCTCGCACCTGCGAACACCAAATGCATGTATGAAGCCATTGGCAACACTGGCAATCCAGGCGGTTCTGTGTAGCTGCTGGCTGCAGGGCCATGATGCGGTTTATGCTTTGCGATCGCACCGAACCTCCATGATTATAAAAGACGGCAACTGCTCCCGTCTCTTCGTGACTTCTCAACTGACTACCCAGTGACACCGCCAAGAGTGCATAAACGTTTCTCACAGTCCCTCAGACCGCGATAGTGGTGTGACGACAAACACGTATCGTTTGAGGCTCAAGCAGGCAGCAAGGCTCTTCATGGTTCACTGCTATGGCCAACAACGCCCTCAGTGTCTTTGGGCTGCAGAAAGCGCTTGGAGCAGGTCGATTGGGCGCGGTAGCTGCAGGTAAGGATATTGATATTGCTACCCGAAGAAAGACCTCAGGTGACATGGCAACGGCATGGGGCCGCTTGGAGCAGCATCTTAAATATGTGGGTAATTCTCTGAGTTAGGGTCCCTTTTAAAGGTCCTTTTGTAATGGTTCGGTACTCTACGGGGGAGGAAATGCCCGGCAGGCCTTATAAGCCCTGTGTGTTTCGCGCCTCGTCCCTTGTTTCCAGGCTGGCTACAGCCACTCTGCTGCAACACGGGTGAAAAGGCCAGGTGTCTTTCTCCATTACCCAAAGAAGCCGAGGAACTTCGCTACCAGCTTCCGGCATGGAAGTGGAGGTACAGCGCACCTTCCTACATGCCAAGCTTCACGTTGATCTCCTCGAGGAGGGCCTAGGCTGTGCACGCCGGAGCCGTAGCGCGGAACCTTGATAACACTAAGCATCTGGCGTTGCAGTATTGGACCTTCAAGAACAAACACCTCGACACCACAATCTGCCTAAGGATCCGGGATATGATGAGTACCCCGCAGCTGTGAATGAGAACTGGGTCACCGTCCGCTCTCACACAGCTACGTCCCAGAAGCTTTTCTACCCTCCCGGTGCCAACCTGTCAGCGAGTGATCTGGTTCAGCAGCTCGCTACTGTGGACGGCCGCCTTTATGGTACGTGTGCTCTCTTCCAGTGGTGCCCTGACGCACGTTGCATGTACCAGCTCCCAGACGGGCGACCTGTGCGACGTGGCAGTGAAGTCACCATAGCATCCGTCAAAAGAGAGGCCGGGCGGCATTCGGGTTCGGTTCGGAATGCTCCCAGTTCCAGTCCAGTGCCACGGTGTGCTGAGGATGACATCCATTGCGGTTCAAGCTCAGATAAACAAGCAGACAGCGCGGCGGACTTCGCAAAAGGGACAGTAAGAACGATCGAAACGTGGCAAAGGATGTTGCCCGATGACATGCACTGCTCGTGTTTTTTCCTCTCCTTCTTCGTGTTGTTTGCATTCAATCCTTCTCATGTTGCAGTAAAGTCGTCAAGGCTTTTGACAACTTGGTGATTCTGCTGCTTGTCTCGTTATCCTCTCTGCACGCCCTGCAGCTGCTCACTCTCTTTCAGCCGTTGCTGCTACGGCGGTACCGGGACAAATATCTCGCCAATAGAGTCTATTCAAAAGCTGCACGGATAGTCGTGAGAATGTCCCAGGCGTTAGTTACAGGCTTTCTGAAGCACGCGGGCGGGCTGGCACAAGACATCGAGCGTTGCCGCACCGCACGAAATATGGTCTTTGCAACGAGAGGTGAAGCAGAGCTCTCTCCTGAAATCTGGACAACCATGAGAGTCGCCCAAAACGGGTCACTCTCCAGCTAGGTCCTTCATTAAGGGACTTTGAAGGGGGGACCTTAATTTTGACACCCGGTGCCCTTCGCTCGTATCCTACGATCATGATGCCTGCCAGGCACCTAGCCTCGCTGGCTCTGCGCTGAGCGAAGAGAATCTCCAATTGCGACGTCAGCTCCTCGCCGTGCTTCGGAGGCATGGGGCTGGCGTGGAAATGAGCCTTGCACGGTTTCCCGACATCGTGCGTCAGCAGGGAGTCGATTGGCGGGGACGCACCAAGAAGGTGGCGTTCCTGAACATGATACTGCAGGATGATCCTGCAATTAGTGTTCGGCTTGAGCATCACAAGGAGAGCATCAAGCTAGTAGGCGCAGTGCCTGAATTTTTCTCATTGGGACGGCTCATGCCATAGCATGTTCATAAATCCCGATTGCTTTGACACAGAGCTGAGGCAAGTAAGCCTGAACCGGGTTGAAAGTCTCAGCGTCCTCGCAGGACCGTTTTGTTGAGCAGTGAGCTTTGCGATCTGCCAATTTAAGTCAGTAATTCGCTGAAGTCCTGGGGCGCACCATAGCCTTGCAAGACGAGTGCTCGCCCTTTGGCACGTAGGCTGAGCTGTGCCGCCGTTGTGGAGCCGTTTTGGTCTAGAGTCTAGACACCGGTTCTTACAGCGCGTTGAGTTCTGATCGTCATGGGTGGCACAGTCGCTGGAGCCATGGCAGCTGCTTCCAAAATCACCTTTGCCGAGACGGCTGTGCCAGGCAGCAAAAGGGTACTACTGTAGCCTCGTGCAAACTAGCCAGTGCTGTGGCTAGACTGCACGACGCGTAATGTAGACACCTGCAGTCGCTTTGGTGTGGACAGGTATCCTCCGCATTCCTGGCCGGAGTTCGCAAAGTTTGGGTCCTTGGGGCCACATGTGCCTTCTCGAGGATGGCAAGGTGATTCTGGTGGATGTGCCCTATTACTCGCCGGACTGCTGAAACCCATATACAAGCCTGAACCCTAAATGCCAAGAACCCGGACATGTTTTGATTTGAAGGAAGCCCCATGAAGCCCCGAGTTCAGAAGTCTGCATGCTTGCAGAGGACCTGGCGGCGGAGGTGCGCAGGCAAGGCCCCGGTGGCCTCTCGCACATCCTGCTGACGCACGATGACTTTGCGCCTGGTCTGCAGTGCACATAATCGCATCTTAGGGGATCTTAAGGGGCTTCGGGTTTCGGGTTGAGGGGTGTGAAGGGTTCAGGCAGATGACTTTGCGGATCTTCTGCAGTACGGTGTTTTTGTTTACTGGGTTCAGGGCTTCGGATTTTGCTTTAGGGTACAGAGATGTCGATTTCACTGTTAGCGTTAGCCGTTTCTCGTGGCTTTGTGCTTCTCAACTGGCTGGAGTTTTTGGTGTTGCCGTTTAAAAGATGTGTGTGTGTGGGGGGCAAGTTCTGGCAGAAATCACGGGAGTGTTGTCAATCCGAGTTGACAGGGAGGAGGGGGCGGGCACTCAGCATTCACTATTGACTTGATTTGACATCGACCCTTTCATTGACGTGGAACCTGTTGTTCAGCTCTTGTGTTGTCGCTTTGGGAAGCTCCTAAACTCTGAAGCCGACATCTCAGGAGCGACAGGAGCTTGTTTCATTCCGCTTCCCTGGGTTACTACTGCTAAGCTAAAGCCGCGCTTAACAGAAGCAAATCGAAAGACTCGAAGCCCAGAGCTGTCCCGAAGTTGATGCAAGCGAAGCTCGCAGAAAATCGCTAATTGTAAAAGCCGTGAAGAGTTCCTCAAACCTTAGCCCCGATCCCCCGGCCAAGCAGGCCGGCCAGTGAGTGGAAGCATGCAACAAAGCAGGCTGGCAAGGAAGCAAGCGAGCAGGCGAGCAAGCGAGCGAGCAAACAAGCAACCTAGCCATGAGAATCCCAATGCTGTCGAATATTCGTGTTGCCCGAAGTCAGGAGCCGTAGTATTTATGATTTCCATGGCAGTCATGACCTTTTCTGGAAACCAAGCAGCGCATGAGGCCCCTAACGTGGAACGAAGAGGCAGGAGCTTTCAACAGGAATGCGGCAAGAATGCCAACGCCACCTGACCCAAATGCAATCGAACGCAGGAACACCGAGGCAGAACTGCCATGGCAGTTTGCACAGCACTGGAAAGCATCTTCATCCGTTCAGCGCTTGCAAGCACCTGCCCCGGAGCGACCTTGATCACCCCGTTCAGATAGACGGACACGGCCTAAGGCCTAAGGTTGAGAGTTTAGAGTTGTTTCAAGGACGAGAACCTCCAACCCAGATCAAAAGCCGGGCTTTTGATTTCGCAAGGTTGGCTTGAGTGACCATGGAACCTGGAAGAGGAACTTTCCGGAAGTTGTCCGTGTGGCGCACGTCAGCGACTGCAAGTACGATGACCTCGAGATGAAACTGTCCGGAAATGGGCCTTGGGATTTGGGAGTGGCCAGGAGGCAATTGGGATGTCCTGAGACGTGGGTGTGCCTTGTTGTATCAGTTTTGCAAGCAGAGGTTGCCGGCCTGACAGCCTACCATGCCCCTGGGCACTCGGAGGGTTCCGTTTTCTATGCCAGCTCAAAGCTCTCTGCCCTGTTCACCGGGGAGCCTTGCCCGATGCAGTTTGGTTGAAATCTACTCACCTAAATCCGCTTGGTGCAGCAACTCTAAATCCTAAAACCCTCCTAAAACCTAGGATCCCCAAAACGCAAAAACTCAGAGCCCTTGACCCCACGGACCCCGAGACCTCGAGTGAGGACAGCTTCGGCTTCTGGTCAGCACCCACCGGCTTCCCGCGGTTTGCTCGCTTCGGCCGGGCCCGGCAGGCCGCCTCCTTGCGGGGCTTCGCCCGGCAGGCGCCGTTTCTGCCGGCGGTGCTGCCGAGCCACGGCGACCCCATGTGCCCTGACTGGCCAACATGAGAGCGACGGGTGCAACTGCTGGAGCTTGCCGCTTTTCGTTTCTTCCCGAGGTATTTCGAGAATGCCGCGCAGCGTGAAGAAGCTTTCAACCTAGCTGCTTCAGAGTTGGAGGGTTCT